TTCCCTAAAGCAAAGAACAATATATGTGGAATCTAATCACGGTCTCACTGCACATATATATATATATATGTCACAACTATGAGCCAAAAGAACCAAACTGGGCAGGTAGGTTATGCATCAATGTCGGACCGTGTTGGGAAATTAACTCCTCGAAGCGCAGTTATGCTCTCCGCATCTTCTTTTGAGTAGAGAGGAAGAAGCCACAACGCCTTGCTCTTGCCAAACACCTTCAACCGAAAAACCAAACCACGCTATGTTTCTAAACGGACATGACATCCGGATAGCAGAAACCAAGACAAACGACTCGGGTTTCTAACTCAGAACAACGCATGAGAGGAGATGACCCACCTGCTCGAAGTTCTTCTTCTTTCCCAGGTCGTACTTCCATCTGTCATCCCCCGTCTTCTCGTGCACCTGAAAATCGTTACAGTGATCAGATATCAAACGCTGGATGGAGGGCTTTGACCTGAGCTCTTGTCTCTTCTTTCTTGCAGCGTTACGAGTCAAAACTAGAAGTTTAAAAAGAAATGAGCTCAAGTTACCTCGACGGAAGTAGTGTTGCTCGATAGAAGAGAGATATGCATGACTACGAAACAGAGAAGGCTGAGAGCAAAGGCCAGGTTAAGAACTGCATCAAGGGATAGAATCTGTAAGAAAACATTTAAAAAAAAAGGAAAATTAGAATCTGGAACACATTGTACAGACAACCCAAAAAAGGAATCTTTAAACTCACCAAAAGCCAGAAAGAGGACAGCTATTTTGCCAGGGGAAGCAGAATGCATGATGGCTTGGCTAAAGAACTCGATAAAACTTGGGAGCAAGACGATGGTATCCAATACCGTCTCGAGGAAGGTATAAAACTGAGAAACCAACAACACAGAACAAAGCAAGCACCAAAACACAGAAACTAAATCAGAAAATTGTCATGCAGAATATATATATAGACAACGCCTTGATCCACACCGCAAGAGAAACATCACCAGAAAGAGAAGGAAAAATTTGTAATTGCGTGCTCCAACACAGTTGACAATCCAAACACAGTGGTGGTCCATTTTGAGAACACATCTTTGACCTGCGAAAGAGACCACAGATGATGAACTCAAACAGTCAAGTCTGTCAAGTTTTAACTCTCCTCTTACCAGGACCATGCATTGCATACGTAAGAATAGACGTGGGCTAATATGTAATAGTATTGATCAAAACAATGGAAAAGAATGAAATCTGCCTTACACACAGAACAATGGTGGCAACGAGGCGGCTTAACATTTCTGCATTTGACACAGTAACCCAAAGAGCCAGGAGCCCTTCGATCGGTTGAAATACCGACACCAGCTTCCAAATTTTCACCCGTCAATTCTACTCCGAGATTTTCTGGAACAGAACCCGGGTCTGTAAAAACTACAGTGAAATAGCTCCACAAGAGCATTATCAGCTGTAAGAACACATACCATCACCTGATCAGCATTCATTCGGAAAAGCTAAATTTATTGTAAACAGAACAGAAATTCGAGAACAACAAAAGATATGTATTGTGTTTTGAGACAACAGCTTGGAAACCATTGTCCCAATTATGATCCACTCTACTGGATTTTGCAGAGGTAGAAAAAAAAATCAATGATTTCATTCGTTTTCTCAAAAAAAAAAAATTGCAGCAATTCAAATTGGGACCGATTATGCATTCCCAAACAGAAGGATTACAGTTCCCAATGCCAAGGAAGAGAGAAATTAAAACAAAATTTTAGCAGCCCACAAAACCCATCTAACGATCTCCAGAATTCGAAAACGACCCGCGACCAAATTCAGCAAACAAAAAGAATACGAGCATTACCAGAAGATGAAAGAGAAGGAGGATGAAGAAGGCAAGAGCGGAGAGAAGGGACGGATGGCCGCGGCGGAGGAAGATGGGCCACCATGTGAAGACGACGACGGCGTAATAGGAGACGACGACCACGGCGGCGACGAGGAGGATCATGAGGTAGCCCAGGACCCGGAGGCCCGAGCAGAACCGGAAGAGGTTCATCTCAAACTGTAACCCGATTGGGTCGGGTCGTCGGGTCCGTGCCGGAGGGAACAACCGTCTCAAGATGTCCGGAGCCACTTTTGAAAACCGCCTGATTATTACTCAAGAATCTGATTATGCTTCGTAGGAACGACGACGACAGACCATCTCAACGCCTTTTCTAATTCGGTCCGAAGCTTTTCGTGATGTGTTTGCTCGACGGCCCAATGATTTGGGCCTATTATTGGGCCGAATCTTACGGCCCGAATATCGTTTGTTGAGAAACCCAACGAAATCGTTGTTCTACTCTGCTTTAGGTTGATTTTACTTCCCTTATTGTGGCAAGAAGACGCAAGATTCTCCACATTTTTTGTTGTCTTCGAGATATGTGCCTTTTGTAAGCTTTCATTGTCGTGTTATAAAAAAAAAAATCCTTCCTTTTTTTTTATTTATTTTTTTGTCTGGAGGGGGCAAACGAAATCTATCGCACTGTATTTGGTGAGGGACAAGTCGATTATATTTGTTTAATTTGAGAAAAAGGAAGGATTTCCGTGACTTTTTGTCTTAAATTCCCGAAACCTCGTCGATATCCAAACGAATCCAAGACTTTAAATTCCAGGGAAATCAAATGTATAGTTGAATATTATCTCACGTTCCTGCGTTGGGCTTTTGTCAATTTACTGTCTTATCGATTTGGGTGGGTAAAGTTTGGAGGTTTTTGAGGGGAGGAAACTAGGGTTTGGGTGATTGGGCGACGGCGAAGTTTAAGGAGAGGTCGAGAAGATGCAGCAACCACCGCAGATGATTCCTATGGTTCCTTCATTCCCTCCGACAAACATTACCACCGAACAGATCCAAAAGGTTCCTTCTTTCTCTTTCTCTCTCTTTTATTGTCTATTATGTAGTTTTTTTTTTATGGTTGCTCATAGTTACCGATTATGATGATGATGATGATGATAAGTAAAAGCTAGTCATGTCATGAACAAATCAATTTTATTAGACAGGCAAACCGATCAGTCGTAGTTAGTCACTTTGTGGCTGTTTGGTGGTAATTTGGTGGCCATGGTTTCTGAAGTTTTGATTTCTCCCTGTAAATTTCCACTGGATTAGGAAAAACGGCTACTGTCGGCCTGTCTGTAAGGAAGGAGACAATATGACTATTCTCTGTGTTTTTTGTAGTTGTTCTTTCTTTCTTTGTTTCCAAGTCGCAGCAGTTCTAGTGATGCTTATCTGGTGTTTGTTATGTTTCTCGAAGAAAATGGGAAAGTTGTGGAATTCATACAAAATTTGAGCGGTGAAACCCATTAGCCGGATGAGATTCCTCTCATCCAGTTTGGCTGTCTTGAATGGCTGACAGTAAGGCACTGCAGAATCTATTTCCGATGATAGATCTTGTTTAGGACATTCCAAAATGGGAAGTGGTTTAATTATAGTACTTGGAATCTTCCATTCCAAGGTTTTCATGACTTTCTCTGCCATATGAATTGTTGGATTCAATTCTTCTATACGTTGCCCAAAAAGAAGCATCAAGTGGGTATTAGTTACCATTGCTTGTAAATGGGTTGGTGTTATACATTTACCTTAGATGTTCGAGTTTTCTTATGCTCCGTTGGGTGTCTGTGTCTATCTTTTTGTTGTAGTTTCTCATCTTCTTATTTGATGCAGTACCTTGATGAGAACAAAAAACTGATCATGGCGATTTTGGAGAACCAGAACCTTGGAAAACTTGCAGAATGTGCCCAGTAAGTGTCCCTGTCCAATTGCATGGAGTATTTGTATTGTTGGCCATGGCATCTATATCTAGCTCGTAGTGGACAGTCAATGGTGGTCGAGGAATCCTTCTGTGTAGGCTGCTTGTAGTAATTTTATGTTCTAAATTTGCTTGGCAATTGTCGGCTTGGGAATAAATCCTGTCGTGTTAATCATTTCTTGGGCTTTGATATCAGATTTCATCTGCTTTGGCATACTTAGTCTCTAATCTGCCTATTGTGGAGAATAATGATGTTGAATGAATATTAAAAAGGTGTTTTTCTTACACGAATCATCTTTGGTATATTTCAGGTATCAAGCTCTTCTCCAGAAGAACTTGATGTATCTCCACCCCCACCCATCCACTCCAGCAGCACCGGCTGTGGCTTCACAGGTGGGTTAGTCATTACAGAACTTGATTTCACTCCAGCAGCACCGACATGTGATGGATCGAAGGATAATACAAATCGTGTTCCTATTTGTTATTGGTTTTGACATATGCAGATGGCAACTCATGCTGCAATGCAACCACCAGGCTACTTCATGCAGCACCCACAAGCCGGAGCCATGCCTCAACCGGCTGGGTTATTCCCTCCGAGAGGTATGTTACAATTCAACAGTCCTCATCCGCTTCAAGAACATCCTCACGCCATGCAAGGGCACATCGGAAACCGACCCATTGGCATCAACAACAATGGGCTGCAGCAGCATTCCATTCACCACCCAGAATCCGCTCTTGGGAGCGGCGGAAATGGTGAACATCTTTCTCTCCTCTCGTTTTCATTACATAACCGTCTTTTCTTGGTTCTCCTCCTATATCATCTTGGATTTCCGATATTATTGTTACTGATGATAACAATCCCATCCGTTATGCGCCGCTAGTGGGCCAGAACGAAGCTCGTGGGGGGAGCAAACAAGATGGGACTGATTCTGGTGCTGGGCAGAGTGGAGGTGACGGGCAAGGTGGCGATGGAAAATGATCCAAAGGCAAAGAGGTTTGCTTTTGTTCATAATTAGAGAGAAGTTATCCGCAAGTTGTTTGGTTTCTTTCACGATGAAGAATGTTAGGTAGGGTTTTTGAAAATGATGATGATGGATTTAGGACATGCGTTGTGTACGATATCAGAGCCAGTTCAGTTCCGTTTGGTGTAATGAACAGGTTCTGGGAATCTGGGATCTTCTCAATTTCTCCTGTTTAGGTTAATGTGTAGGATTTTTATTTATGGTATTTATATATACACACACATGGTCGAGAGAAAAAATCGTTTGAGGGGTATACTGCGAGTACGAAAGGTTGGGTCCAAAATGTAGCAATTGGAAAATGAGGGGGTCTTCGTCCAAATTTCATGGTTACTCTCGATTGATAAAACAGTACCTCGAATTGGGCTTAAAATTTTATTGTTGGATTTTGTTTAATGATAGCCCCCCATCAAGCCCAATATATGAATTGTACAGAGCATAAATATTTAAGAGGTAATCACATAAAAATATCCAAATTTTTATAAAAATCTTAAATAAATATCCGAACTATAAAATTATTATATAAATACCTAAACTTTTCAAAACTCACACATAAATACTCAGACTTTTAAATTTTTTCCAAATCAAACAAACGTATCTGCTGACTCAGCAAAAAACTGCTGACTCATCATTTAAAAATATAATTAAATATCCAAATATTCATCTACATATATTTAAATCAATATATCATATAAATTGACATATATATACAAATAAATAAATATATATTAAAAATAAAATTATTTATAATTAATAAAACATATATACACATAACTACAATATATATATATATCATTACTAATGCATATATATTACAATAAAAATAATTATAATTAAATTTATTATTAAAAATAATAATAATGCATAAAAATAATTATAATTAAATATATATATTATGTA